AGAACTCTCTGTCATGACCTGTCCGTCTTGGGTGGCACTGCACCGTATATCTCATGGCTTCACTGAGTTACGCAAGCCCCTTCGCCACGACAAGGCAGTGATCCATGAAGGGGAGCATAGCCATGCTTATGTCTAATTAGACTAACCTCTTCCATCCGGCACCCTCCAGTGTTGGTAGGCTGAACTCTCACATTTCTCAGCTGCCATTTAATTCCTGGTCATGTGCCTGGAAAATTCTGCTGATTGAAATCTGACATTGGAGAAACCTTCTCTGAAAGAACTTTTCTATTGTATTCTCCCATTTTTGACTGAGGGTTTCCCTCTTATCCCAGCAACAGTACAGTGTATGCTTTCATCTGCTAAGACATAGGTTGAAAATTCAGCTAGTGGTTGCACAGTGGGCCTGGGGATTTCATGTTGGAGAACCTCCACAACCCTGTAGATGTTTCTGTAACAAGATCCCTGCAGAGCTATATCCTCTTGCTGTTTCCTTCCATGGAAACCAAAGCTCACACCACTGACATTCTCACCCAGTTTCATACCACCTTTATATTTTCTTCTGTTTCCTTTTATGGGCAGTGCAATGAAACTGAGGCCCAGTTGTGCAAGATGTTCCTATCCACTGAACACTTCCACTGTGGTGAGGTCTTTATGTCTGTTTTGCATGACTTTCAGTGCTAAGGAAGATGGTTCTCCAACCTTAGACCTTCTGACCTGGAATGCTTTTCTCCTCTCTTCTCCAACTTCTTTTACAGGCAGTAGGAAATTCTAATTTCTCTTTGACCATCTACTTCACTTTGAAATCAAAATCCTCTTCCCTGTCCACTTGTACCATCTCTTGTTGCTTTGCCTTTGTGTTGGAGAGCGCGAATGATTTTGCTTTTCCTACACTTCATTTCATTTGCTCATCCAGGAAACATCCAGGCCTGGCTTTGTCAGACTGCTGAGATTCAACAGAGTAAGACTAAATTTTTCAAGTAATTTTCTCAGATGTGTTCATGTTGACTGTTTAGTGATATAAATGGAAGCTTTATAGCAAATGAACAGAACGCCCAACCAGGTATTATGTTTCAGAAACCAGTGATTACTTTTCATTCACTGAAATCCAGAGAGGGTTATCTTTAGCCAAGATTGCTCCTGAAGTTTACATTCCGCAAGTTTTTTCAATAAATGCCTTCATGTTTATCCTTCTCAGGATGCTCCAACCACTTCTGTATTATACAGAAGTCATGTTGAGTTAATTTGGCCTTGTCTCTATATCAAATCTCTGCACATACTACAGTATTCTCTTAAATGAGAGAACTTAATTTTAAGGAAATAAAATAGCTGTTCATATTTGGAATGTGCTCATTTGGATAGGAGTTCCACACTGATTTCCTTAAAAATCCACACCTCACTGAATCTATGAAGATGGTGTTTGAAACAAGTAGGAAAAAAAACACTTTATAGCAACTGTGAGGAAAAAACCTGGTATGTCTCCCCCCCCCCCCCCCCCCCCCCCGGTATGGAACAGAAACACCTTCCAGATTGGGGCAAAATCTGTAACTGCTGTTCTGTGAAAACGAAAATGCCCCATTTAAAAGTGTGAAGAATGTTACACGGAGTTAGATCCATCAGATTTCATTCAGGGAAACAGAGGTCATTTGCAAGGATTTCATGAGGACTGAAACATTATCTCCTCATTTCACTTCATATACTGAACTCCAGTCATGTCCAGTTTTTAGTTACCCATTAATGGAATGCTGTTTATTTTAGTGGGTTGATTCCTCTATTGTCTACTGGTTTCAATCTGCACTTGCTCTCCTTTAAATTCACCTTGTAAGACAGGGTTGTGTTCCTTACATGACCCATCTATGTACAACTTCTCCCATTTCATATCATGCATCCATTGAGATCTATGAAAGGTCATCTCGCAAGAATGCAATAGGTTTAGAATACAATGCCTAGCCCCTCTCCATATGTGTTCTACTAACTCTTTCATCCCCAGTCATACAAGTAGGATCATACTGGCTCAGGCTGAGTTACGTTGTACCTATAGAAAGACTGAATTCAAAGGACATTAGCTCACTGTTGTACATAGAAGAAGTGTTGCAGAACCTGAAGTAGGGCACCAATGTTTGTGCAGGAGAGCAAGACTCTAACCTGAGTGAGTGATTATTAGTGAAGCAGGTTTTATATCTATAATAGAATTGAAATTTAAGGAAGTCAGCGACAGAGGTAGACAAAACATGGTACAAGCAGACAAAGAAGAGACACAGAGTAAATCCTTAATTTACTACCCCTTGGAGTCAGTAGGTTGTGAGGTGCTGAAGAGTCAGTGCCATTGAATCCACATTTCCAGCAATATCCAGTGAGGGATGATACATCTCATTACTTCTGTAGTGCCCAATTTGGAGAGAAGATTTGCAAAGCCATGATCACAGTTTCCCATCCAACTTTACTTCTCTTCAATCCCCTTCTGACCAATGGACCAGTTCTGAAATGAGATTATTCATTATTACATTGGTTAGAATGTGAAACTGAAGGAACAACGATATAATCCCATTTCTTTTACTCTCATTTTCAGCTGAGCCATGGAAATGGAACAGGAGAACAACACCAACTTTGCTGGATTCATCCTCCTGGGTTTCTCCTCCTCACCAGAGTTTAAGGAACTTCTCTTCCCCTTCTTCCTCTGCATGTACCTGCTTAGCTTACTGGGAAACCTCTTGATCATGGTGTTGATCTTCTTCAGTAACAACCTTTTCCATGCCCCCATGTATTTTTTCCTCAGTCACCTATCGTTGGCTGACCTCGGTTTTAGTTCCAATGCTGTACCCAAGATGTTGCAAATCTTGGTATCCCAGAAAAACACCATATCCTACAGTGGATGCCTCAGTCAAATGTATTTCTTTGTGGTCTTTTGTACCACTGATAACTTTCTCCTGGCCTCCATGGCTTATGACCGCTATGTGGCTATCTGCCGTCCACTTCATTATACTACAATCATGAGCTACAAGCATTGCCTGGTCTTGGCTGCTGGGTCTTGGCTCCTCTCTTTTTCCCAAGGCCTATTGTATGTATTTACAATAGCTAACTTTTCTTTTTGTGGCTCCCGGGAGATACCCCATTTCTTCTGTGACCTCCATCCTTTACTCAAGCTTTCCTGCTCAGATACCTCTTCTGCAGAAACGCTGCTCATGATTGAAGGCACTGCTACCATGCTTGGGCCCCTTATACTTATCCTTCTGTCCTACATATTGATTATGTTCAAGGTGCTGAAAGTCCCTTCTGCTTCTGGGAAGTACAAAGCCTTCTCCACTTGCAGCGCACACATCACTACTGTTGCCTTGTTCTATGGGACTCTGATGGGCACCTACATCCGTCCGTCCTCCACCTATTCTGGGTCCACGTTGAGAATGGCATCAGTATTCTACACAGTGGTGACCCCCATGCTCAATCCTTTCATATACAGCCTGAGGAACAGTGAGATTCATGGGGCCATGAGGAAATTACTAAGGGTTTGGATGCAGAAGAGGGAAATCAAAGCAGAACTGAGATTACCACATAATAAGCCTGGAGCCAGTTTGGAAAACTACAAGGATGACTGCCAGTAGAATGATATATAATGTTCTTTAACCTTCATAATGTTCCTGATCATTTATTATATCATGTGCATAAAGTTACAGCAGGATGGTTATAATCTCTTACTATCTTCCAAGGATGTGTGCCAGTATGAAATGTGAATGTTGAAACTTTCATTCAGCTATGGCCTTAATGCAATTTATGTACAGCATGTGTTACTTTAAGTGGTTTGTACTTCTATGCATTTCCCCAGCATTGCCCTTAATCACGTAAGTCACCATGAGTTTAGAAATAAGCTACCATTATATCCTGAAGCCCTGGGAGGAAGCTTTGGGGAATATTGAAAATAAGATTTGAATTAAGAGTGTATACATGTTAGTATACTTTTTTTCTGTTTTTAAAGGAAACATAAACTTGCCGTACTTCCACCCAGATCTTTGGTGTTGTTCCCACACCAATGTCTATGTTGGGCAGCTTAGCCAATTTTTTAATTTTAATTTTAATTTAATTTTTAATTTTTTAATTTTTAATTTATTTTTGGCTCAGCCACAACATTAGAGAAATCAGAAATAGCAGAGCTTTGCAGCACTTGGACGTGGCTCCCATCTACTCTGTTCTCCCTTCTTCCTTCTCCCCTCTGAGGCTAAGGTGCCACGACACCTCACCCCCATTCACTTGCCTGTCATTGTACAGTATTTGGAAATGTAATGACATTTATAAGACATGTTATATTTACATATTCTGGTACGTATTCTAGTATGTCTGGGACTGTCTTCTTCAGGTAGAATTTGGACATCCTACATGATCTCATTGGGAGCAAATGTTCCTGATGCCCATCCTGAAAGAGATTGGGTGATTGGCATGTGGTGAATGATCTTTTCAGCAGTAGCCCTCCCAAACTGCTTGCCCTGGACATGAGATGTTCCCCAACTCTGATGGCATTTTGCAAAATGGCGAAAACAATCCTCTTTGGGATGGCATTTGGATCTACTTGAAAATAGCTTAAGTTTTTATTAATGGTTTTAAATTAAGAGGTTTATTAATAGTAGTAATGGTTTGTTTTTGTGAATGCTTTATACCTGCTTTTAAAATTTTTTAATGTACTTCATTTACATGCCAGCCATTTCCAAAGGCTCTGAGTAGCCTATAGTCAAAAACATCACAGAGTAATTTTAAGAACCTTCCAAAATAATAAAGTCACCCATAAAATAAATATATAGTATTTATTATAAACTGGCTATAACAATGAGAAGTGGCAGTATGCGTACATTGTAAAATATCAAATAAATATCAAACAATTTGTGTTGTTATTTTTAAAGTGATGTTTTATGCTTTGAATAATTTAATTGCTATGGGCTTGATGAGACCTCACTTATCTGGGGATTCCAGGAGGTGGATATTGGAAGTGAATACCTAGATATTTAAAGTCCTTAACTTGCTTTATAGGTTTCTCATTGATATGCCAGTTATGGGAAAGATTTTTATGTGAAAGTAAGCATGCTGGGATACAATTTCCCTTTGAAATTCTGACTAGCCCTATGGCATTATGAATCCCACTTATAGTCAAGGGCTGTCCTTTCTATTCTTTGAACACCTGCACTCAGGTTCCTCCCACTGGTTTTGGTCAATTGTTCACAGAACTTCCAAATAGCTTTAATGAGTAGAATGTTCCTTGCCCTCACTTTCACTTACACATTTATCTCTCCCACCACTCACCTGGCTCTTGCAACTAAGGTTGGCCAAACATCTAGCCTAAGGGCATGGAGGTCCTCTATCTGGATAGAGAAGCTCTACTGGAATCTTTTGTTTCAGGTTTGTTATAGTCTTGCCATTTGTTGGGCAAAATTGCCTAATACAATGTTGATTGATATGCTCTCACTTTAAATGTTTATTTCTCCAGCCAGCTTCCTCACTCTTCCAGGATCTGCTTTTCTAACCTCAGAAGTTTGATATGCCAAGTATCTAATAAGATGTGGACATGCTTCTCTCATTTCCAGATAATGACATCTTGAGCTCTCTTTCATTGATGTGGCTCAAGCTGTTTTGTAGCCTTCTTTTAAATTTTGTCATGGTGCTTGGATTGACAGTGTGAAACTGGCACGAGTCTAATCTCTAAAGTAATATCATAAGACATTCTAGAGAACTGTTCCAATTGAGAATCCTGTTTTTTGAGATTAGTAAATGTAATGTGGCTGCTAATCTCCAAAAAGACTTCACACTAACCCCACCGTACCCTTCCAAAGTCTGTACGTTATGCAGATTACTTGAGAATAGGTTCCATAATCTATGCTTCAAAGTTTGTGCATGTCTTTTGATATAATGTTTGACTATAGATTTTCATGTTTTCCTGTTCTGTAAAGATTAAATAAGAACATTGAACTGTAGTTTGGAAAAAACAAGAATACTTTGGACTTCAAGAATAACAAATAATCCAATCTAGATGAAGTAAAACCAGGCTTCTCACTGGAAGCATTGACATAATGCAAAATCAAGAGAAAATCCTGGAGAAGACTGATTCTCAGAAAAATTGCAGGCAACTGAAAAAGATACCAACAGATGAGGTGGTTAGATACTATTACTGATGGCCCAGGCATAGGTTTAAAAGAAAAGAAACAGTTACAGACAGACAGTTCTGGTGAAATGATACCCCTTGGATCACAAAGACGCAAAAGCAATTGAAGAATTGAACAACAACAACAACAACATACTCTAGGAACTTAAAAGCAAACATCATCAAGCCAACATCTATGTTATATCTATATCTATAACATATAACATATCTTGATGGATATTCTATTCCAGTAATGGTCAACCAGATGCCCAGAGGAACCCCACAAGCAGTATATGACTACAATAGCATTGTCCTTAATACATTCCCCAGCAACTGGCATTCAGATGCATACTTGGAGTAATGTCATCTGCTATATATTGGTAGGCCAGTGTACTCCCCAGCTAGAGGAAGTGGGCAGGAAGTGGTATGACTGCAGTTTATAAGAGAAATATCTCCATTTCAGGATTTCTGTGAACAGGTTCACACTGAGTATGAGCACCTAACTCTAGGACCAATTAGAGAGTCCTCTTGGTATTCTGACACTATCTAATGGCAACCCTTATTAAACTGATGGAACTCATCTTAGAGATGTCAATGGGGTCCCTTAGAGTTATGGTGCAAGGTGACTTGAAGAGTCACTTTGAGGTTAGTTTGGCAAGAGCGATTCAGGAATTTGTAGCACCTCTTACAACAGTGCGCCTATCCCAATTGGACACAAGGGCAATACATGATGCAAGTTACAAACTTGATATGATATTTATTTATCATGGAGGCACCCCATGCATATGTACATTTCAGATCTCTCAACTGTCACAACCAGATAATCAACTAACCAAGACTGGATTTGCAGTTGCATTCCAATTTGGGGGATGGATTTATTAGGATATTGCATAAAAAGATTATTGGGAATTAATGGGATTCCAAGACATCTTCGAAGACTTTGTGTTGTCCCAGGGGCATATACAATTAAAAAACCCTTTAACCTCCAGTTAAAAAAATCAAGATGGTGGACACAACTGTCCAATTCCATTTAGTATGTGAATACAGAAGGTGTATTAATTCAGGAACCAAATTAACTGTGTTCTATGAAGGTTGACAATCTCTTCACAATGGTCCCTGAGTCATTTGTGATTCAGAGCCTGTCTTGTTTTGGAAGGACTGCAAGAGGCCCCTCTGCTGAAAGCAATGGCCTGGCTGCCATTTTGTTTCTGGGCACCATACAAAGTGCTGGTTGCTTTTATTTTACTAAGAGCCTATGTAACATTGGCAAACATGCTAAGCAATTTACTTTCTTCTTAATTTACTGAATAATTGTTTTGTCATTATACATGCATATACAATAAGGGCAGAAAACATGCCCCTATTTTACTTATAATTAAAAAGAAACAGAGAAATGTATGGCACCATTAGATAGCTATTTGCCATTGAATATCAGCACTATAATCTCAGCTCTGAACCATTTGCAAAACCAGTAGGTATAGCATTCAGTAGAAAGATGATAAGTTTTATTTAGTGTTTGTCCTGTTCCAGTGCTTCTGTGCTCAGTATCTTTTCCTGGATTCCAGGATTCCAGTCCAGTAGAATCGAGACAGTCTGGGGTTATAAATATGTGTTTCTCCGTGAAAAGGGAAAGTGAATGCTGACTGTGATTCTGAAAGGTAAAGCTTTCCGATATAAGGCATATTATTTGACTGTCCAAATTTAAGCTGTAACTAAATGTATTTTCTCTCATATGGACAGTTTGAAGCTGAAAGTGTTTCTGTCAAATTCTTCTGTTTTGAAATGTTTGATAGCTTCTTCAGGCCATCAGAATCTGAGTCTGGACTCTATATCTGCCCAAAGAAAGAATAACTGGGTGCTTGGTATCGAACAGTAGCATAAACATTTTAAAACTCAATGAATAAACAAACAACACTTTTTCAAGGCTGATGTTGGTGATCTCAATGTGTTCCTGCAATACCTCAAAAGCCCCAAGATCTCCATAATTTGCTCAAACACAAAAAGTACCTTAAAATGTCCTGTGGCTGAGTAAAATTTGAGGAGAATAATTAAAAAACCTGGGAGTATTATCTCTACACATTGCCAGTATGAATCTATTACTGTATATATTTTGTTTCATTTCTCCCTGGCCTTAAGCAATTATATTCCTATCATGTAGAAGTATGAAATACTAGGTAAGCAGCTCATTTTAACTGAGAAGGTACAGTTCCCAAATAGGATGACCCCCAGGTCATGGAAGACCAAAAGTGCTTCTTCTGAGGGAATCTCAAGTTGTCCTGTTACAGTTTTCTCTTTTCCTGCATCGCTTCACTGCAATCTTTCAAATCCATGCCCCAATACTAAATTCTCATCCAGGATTTGTCTGTGATAGCCATTGTGGCCAATCATTCTCTGTTGGATTTCTTTCACCTAATCAAAAGCAGGCCAGCTTGTGAAGGAAGTCTCCCATGATGCTTGCCATGAATTCAGAAGTACTGTGAATTAATATGTTCATTTCTTCCCAGAGCAGTACAGCAATACAGCTGTTTAAAATAGGAGCAGGAGATGGTTCTGCCATTGTTAATTCATAGTCCTTCTTCAAAATGGTCAAAGTCAGTGTAGAACAGGAGTTGAGCTTTTTGTTTCCCTTAGCATGGTTTTTGACTTAGG